ATGCGGGGGGGGGATCTCATTGAAGCTTACAGAATACTGACAGGCCTGGATTGAGTGGACATGGAGAAGATGTTTCTGCTAGGAGGAGAGACTAGGACCTGAGGACACGCATCAGTGATTGGACGACGCTTTAGAACTGAAATAAGGAGTTTCTTCAGCTGGAGGGTAGTGAATCTCATTACTGCAGAAAGCTATGGAGGCCGAGTCATTGAGTGTATTTAAGACAGATTCGTAAGGGGATCAGGGGGTTGGGAGCAGGGGTGCGGTAGTGGAGAGGGAGGAGAATGTGGTTGAGAAACATAATCAGGCATAATCAAATGGCAGAGCAGACATGATGGGCCAAACAGCCCAATTCTGTTCCTATATGCCTAAATTGGACTGAGAGCAGCTACATGTAGAAAAATCTACATCAGAGCAATGGAACCTTTCAAAAAAGGCAATAGAATATGTGCAGGGCCAACAAATGCAGAGAATCCTAGAAGACAAAATGTATAGAATTGGATAAGGGAAAAAGGGAAGGCTATGGTAGACACCTAAGGGTCAAAACACCAAAGCGTAAGAGGCATATAGAAAGTCATGGGGGTTACCTTTTCTTAAAAAAAAATTAGGAAAGCAAAGAGGAGCTATGTAGAAACACTGAAGAGCAAACTTAAGGAAAATTGAAAGGTATTTTTTTTAAGTATATCAGGACAAAGAGTGGGGCGTATGTGTGGAGCCAGAAGGTGTTGGTGGGGTTTTAAATGAGTCTTTTGTACCTGTATTACCACGAAGTACAATTTAGGTATAGAAATCAGGGAGGAGGGCTGAGATATGCTTGCACAAATTACAATTGAGAGGGAGGAAATAAGAGCATTTTTAGCAATGCCTCCAGGCACCAGATCACGCGATTGCAGAGACTATTGCACAAGGTTTGATACTTAGGTTTGCAGATGACACAAAAATTGGTGTTGTAAACAGTGAGGAGGAATGACTCGCACTATAGGATGAGAGAGGTAATGTATTTTAGGCAGACGAACAAGACAAGGGACTACACAATGATTGCTAAGACTGAGGAAATGCAGAGGATCCGAGGGACCTTGGTTTACATGTCTGCAGATCCTCAAAGGAGAAGGGATAGATGGATAAAGTCATTAAGAATGCATATGGGGTACTTGTCTTTATTAGTTGAGGCATTGAATACAAAAGCAAGGTTAAGCTGGTGCTGAAAATAACATTAATTAGGCCACAGCTGGATTATTTTGTTGTTCTGGTTACCACACTAAAGGAAGGATTTGATTGCATTAGATAGGGTGCAAGGGTGATTCCCCAGGATGTTACTTTGGCTGAAGCAGTTCCCTATAAAGAAAGACTAGATAGGCTGAGGTTGTTTTGGAGCAGAGAAGGCTAGGAGGGGGCTACTGATTGAGATGTGAAAAATTGAGGAACGTTTTGGGTTAGTAGAGGGATTAATAACTGGGGGCGTAGATTTGAGGTTAGAGGTGATTTAAGGAAGGGTTTTTCTACCTAGAGAATGGTGTTTCTGCAACTCACTGCCTAAAAGGGTGTTAGAGGTGGGAACCTTCATAACATTTAATTAAATACTTGAAATACCACGGCATAAAGGCTATGGGCCAAGTGCTGGAAAGGGGGACTGGAATAGATGCGTGCTTGACAACAGGCTATGGTACATTTGGTTGAAGGGCTTCTTTCCATGTTGTAAAACTTTATAAAAGAAAATTTCATACTGATGGTGAAAAATGACTGACAACCAGGCTCTCCAGGAGAACCAACAGCACTGGAGGTGTAGCAAAATATTTCCAAATCAGGATGGTAAGTGGATTAGAGGGGAACTTGCTACCCTTGTCCTTCTAGGTGGGAGTGTTTATGAATTTGGAATGACCTGTCCAAGGACCCTTGGTGAGTTTCTTCAGTACATCTGATATGTAGTACACGCTGCTGCTATTGATGGTGGAGGGAGTGAATGTTTAAGAATTTGGTACCAATCAAACAACTGCTTTGTCCTTGATGGTGTTGAGCTTCTGTTAGACCTGCGCTCAACCAGACAAGTGGGAAGTATTCCATCGCACTGTTGAGTTGTGCTTTTTATCTGATGGATAGGCTTTGGAAAGTTGGGTGCTGAGTCACTACTATAGGATTCCTAGCCTCTGACCTGTTGTTAGAGACAAAGTAATTAAGTGGCTTCTGAAGAAGGGTCTAGGCCCGAAACGTCAGCCTTCCTGCTCCTCTGCTGCTTGGCCTGCTGTGTTCATCCAGCTCTACACCTTGTTATCTCAGATTCTCCAGCATCTGCAGTTCCTACTATCTCTAATTAAGTGGCTGGTCCAGTTCCATTTCCGTTCAGTGTTATCCCCCAGGATGTCAATATTATTTTAGTAAATCTGTATTGCACCCCTCCCAGCACAGTATTTCTTTCTTCGGATTTACGTGCTTAGGCTTTGTCATTCTGTTTTGTGAAATGATTTTCACTTATTCCTGAGGTGTGAATTTGCTGTCATTTCACATTGTGATGCTTCAATCCAGTATTTTGGGGGTAGAGTGAAAATGATTTTGATTTGATTTATTACTGTCACGTGTACTGAGATAGTGAAAATTGTTGATTTATGTGCTTTACAGGCAGATCATACTATGCAAGTGCGTCAGAGTAACAGAAGAGTGCAGGATACAATGTTACAGTTGCCAAGAAGGTGCAGAGAGAGATCGACATTAACATTAAAGAGATCCATTAAAAAGTCTGATAAGTTATGCAATTCAGTGGCTGATTGTTATAGGAAATTCAGGTGGGGTTGGTTGCAATGCTTCAATTGTGGAGCAGATTCAGCTGGAATTCATGGGCCTGCAAATATATCAAACCTAATGTAAAGCATCATGTTCTGAAACGCTGTATAGAGTACCTCTGAAAGCATACTTCACAGAAAATATTTGCACTAATTCATGGAAAAATTCACAACAAATGGATTTACAGCCAGAGGATGTGTTCAGGGGACACTCTTCAAATGCAAATAACCCTCTATTTGATACAGTGAAATTTACACATAAGGGAACTTCTGAAAGGAATTCCACTGCCGTGCACAAGATTCCCGTGGTTGAGAATTGGGTGTGTAGAATGTGAAGCCTTCACCTGCTAAGGAACATCATCCCATATTCACAAAGTTTGTCTAGAGCACTATTTACTTCAGAGTGAAATTTTGAACCACAGATTCTTATCCTGTGATTCCACCATTTTGATAAGCTGTGTGGCTTGTTTTAAAATGAATGGCCGTGACTCACTGAAGACTGTCTGCTCAAATTGCCTCCTGTGTAGTCTGTTCTTTGAAACATGTGCTGGTTGGTGAGTCTCAGATTGCTGAGGACGTTTGGGGGAGCAGCTTCCACTTGGACTGAAATACCATCCATCACGACATGCTTTTGACCTAGAGTTAGTGGAAATGTCACATGGGCAAACCAACTCTATGATGTAATCAGTGGTTTAGGAACTTTCAGCTTTTATCGAGACTGGAGAACTGAGGCAATTTTCAGAGCAGTAAGTTAATAAAGATATTTGGGGTTACCAAACTCATTTGAGCGTATTAGAAATCTATTCTAAAATGTTGAAAGTAAGATTTTCTTGAGAGCAGAACTATACCTGATTAGCCAGACAGATTAGCTGAGTAAGATGCATTAAAGCTAAACATATTAGGTTTTCCTGCTAGTTTTCCACTCTCCTTTCCAGAAGACCTGCTGGAATTTTTATTCCTTCCCGAGTCATCAGTCTCGGTGAGTTATTGAGTCCAGATAGTGAATGCTGTCAGCTTTCCTTTACTTAAAGGGGGGGGCCATCTCGCATCTACCTGCAGACCCACACCCTATATATATCCATTTTGTAACAGGGCTCAGATTGCAGTCTGAGCTAAGTTTGGCCTTGCACAATTTGAAAATAGAGTGGTTGTATCACAACTCCCTCCCCCGGTCTGTTTGTAATAGTGAAGTTTTATGAGCTGGACAGCTGTGAAACTTGGGTTAGAGAAGTTACTTGTGGTGGCTGCTGCTTGCTGTAACTGAACAGAGAACAGCACAACAAAGGAACAGGCCCTTTGGCTCACCATTTCTATGCCAATCATAATGCTGCTCTAAACTAATCCCATCTGCCTGAACATATCCCTCTATTCCCTGCCTGTTCATGTGTCTAAGTGCTTCTTAAACATTGCTATCGTATCTGCTTCTACCACCTCCCCTGACAGCCTGTCCCAGGCACCTACCATCTTCTTTGAAAAAGAAATCTTGCCTCGCACATCTCTATTAAGCCTTTCCCCTCTCACCTTCAACCTATGCCCCCTAGTATTTGGCCTTTCCATCCAAGCCTGTCATAATTTTGTGTACTTCCATCAGGTCTCAGCCTGATGCTATAGTGCAAACAATCCAAGCTTGTCTAACTTCTCCATTTAGCTAATACAGTTGAATCTAGCCAACATCCTGGTAAACCTGTTTTGCAATCTCTCCACATCTTTCATATAGTGGTGATCAGAACTGGATGTTACGTGGATAGGAAGTGATTAGAGGGCTATGGCCCAAATGCAGGCAAATGGGACTAGATCGGTTTAGAAAACCTGGTCAGCATGGACGAGTGGGGCCAAATGGTAGGATTCTATACTGTATGACTCAAATGCCAAATAAAATGTGATCTAACTAAAATTTTATACAACTACAACATGATTTGCCAACTTTTACACTCGATGAATGACCGATGAAGGCAAGCATGCTGTACACCACCTTCACCTCCTTGTGTACTTGTGTTGCCACTTTCACAGAGCTGTGGCCTTCCACCCAAAATCTCTCTATATCAGTGCTACTAAGGACCCTGACATTTACCATATACTTTCATCTTGCATTTGACCTCCCAAAATGCATGACCTCACACTTGTCTGGATTAAACGCCATCTGCCATTGATGCAAAGTCTTGCCTGGTTTGATGTACAATTGAAACCCAAAGCCAACTTTCTAACTTTTTTTTTGTCTTTACACAGTCTCCTACTAAAGCTGTGTACAATGCCAGACACTGGAATCAGCCTGAGCCAGAGGAGCTTCCTCCAACACTGTCGCTATCTCATAATGCAGTGGGGAGTGCCACAAGTAAACAGCCACTGATACAGTCCCAAGCAACACAGGTGAGTAACTTTGTGCCAGTGTCTAAAGTGGAGGGTCTGAACAGGTACAAGGTTCACTACTACCCTTTAGGGAAGGAAACTGCCATCCTTGCCTGGTCTGGCCTATACGTGACTCCAGACCCACAGCAATGTGGTTGACTCTGAACTGCCCACTAGGCAATTAGGGATGGGCAGTAAATGCTGCCTGGTCAGCGACTCCCTCATCCTGTGAATGAATAAAATAAAATAGAAAAAAAAGTGAGTATCCTAATCTGATAGCTGATATCAGAGCTGAACATGATCATTACCATCTGTCATAGTATTGTTCAGTACTAAAATTGCTGATAATGTCTTCCTATAAATCATCAAATTCTTGCGCCAGTATTTTAATTATACTGCCTTGACTAAAGTGTTTTCTTCATGTAACTATATTAAAAAGCTGTTTCCCAGCACTTGCAACTTTCTCAATCTATGAATCTTCCATACCCATCCCTTCTGATGGCTAATCTTTCTCCATATAGCAAAACTAGAATGAGTTGGTATCAGAAGGCAAACTTTCCACTGGTTTGAGTCATACCGGGCATATGAGAAGTTGTTACCGGAAGTCAGTCATCTTAGCTCCAGGATATCTCTGCATTCATTCCTCAGGGTAGCACCTTGACCCAACCATGCTGTTTCATCAATGACTTTCCCTCTATCATAAGGTCAGAAGTGGGGGTGTTCACTGTGCAATGTTCTGCACCCTTCATCACTCCTCAGGTACTGAAGCAGTCCATGTTCAAATGCAACAAGACATGGCCATTATCCAGACTTTGGTTGACAAGTGGCCAGTAACATTCGTGCCACACAAGGTCTTTCTCCCAGGTTAGGGGAGTCCAAAACTAGAAGGCATAGGCTTAAGGTGAAAAGGGCAAAGGGTTCTGCAGGGCAACTTTTTTACGCAGAGGATGGTGCATATATGGAATGAGTTGCCAGAGGAGGTAGTAGAGGCGGGAACAGCTACAACATATAAAAGACTTTTGGGCAGATACATGGATAGGAAGGCTTCAGAGGGATATGGCCCAAATGCAGGCAAATGGGAATAGATTGGTTTAGGAAACCTGGTCAGCATGGACGAGTTGGGCCAAACGGTCGGTTTCTATACTGTATGACTCAAATGTCAAATAAAAACCATCTCTAATAAGAGATGATCTAATCACTGACCCTTAACATTCAATGATGGTAGCATTATTGACTCCCCACTGTCAATATCCTTGGGGTGAGCATTGACTGGAAACTCAACTGGACTTGCCACATAAACACAGGGGCTACAAAAGCAGGTCAGAGGCTAGGAATACTGTGCCGAGTAACTCACCACTTAACCCCCACTCCCCACCACCACCACCACCCGCTCCCCCCAACACACACACACCCGCCGCCGCCGCCACAAAAAAAATGTCAGTCCATCTACAAGGCACGATTCAGGAGTGTGGTGAATATTCCCCATTTGCCTGGATGGGTGCAGCTCTAACAACACTCGAAGAAGCTTGGCACCATCCAGGACAAGGCACCCTGCTTGATTAGCACCACATCCACATGAATCCACACTGACGCTCAGTAGCAGCAGAGTGTATTGTCTACAAGGTACACTGCAGAAATTCACCAAAGATCCTCGGACAGCAACTGCCGTCTAGAAGGACAAGGGCACCGGATACTTGGGAACACCACCCCCTGCAAGTTCTCCTCAAAACCACTCACCATCCTGACTTGGAAATATATCGCTGTTCCTTAGCTGTCGCTGGATCAAAATCCTGGGTTCCCTCCTTAAGGGCATTGTGGGTCAACCTACAGCATGTGGACTGCAGGGATTCAAGAAGCAGCTCACCACCACCACAAGGGCAACTAGGGACAAGCAATAAATGCTAGCCAGCCAGCTGTACCAATGTCCCGTGAATAAATGAAAAAACCTTTTGGCTCATTCTGTCCCATTCTTATCTCCAGAAAATCCTCACTCCCCTGTTTTTAACCTCCCATTATCAGTATCATTCCTGCTTTGCCATCCTTATTAAATTTACCTCCTTTCATTTTTACTGACCTTCTGTATTGTTTATCACACTTTGCCTTAATCTTGGTTGTATCCAGGAAGGGAATTCTACAATAATGCCGAAGTGCTGGAGAAACACAACAGGGTCTGACAGCATCTTTGGAGAGAGAAGCATAGTTATTGTTTAGAGTACAGTATGATTCTCGGACAAGTTGCTGCTTGACTTGCACAGCTTCTCCCCTTTCTGTTTTTATTTCAGATCTCCAACATCTTTAGTTCTGTTTTTGTATAAGGGAATTCTGTAGCTATGTAAATGGATTTCTCTTGCCCTCAACTGAGATCTCTTGTACTCTAGACCCTAAGTGGCTGGAAACATACAGCTTCCAACAATCCAATTTTTCTAAAGCATTCTTTGAATGGATATTTTACTTGCCAAAGTCCTGGTAAAAGAGTTGTATTCTCTAATGCCTTAATATAGTCTTATTTGAACCTCCTCATTTCAATTAGTACTCTTGAGAATGCACATTTTCTGGCCTCAATGAGTTGAGGTTTGATGTTCATACTGGTCCTTTTTGAAAGCTATACTTTCTCTTTATGTAAATAACTTTATCCTTCAAAATTTGAAGTGAAAATTGATGTTACATTCCACCAAATGTGCATGCTTCAGTCAACTCTTGGTGCTTGAACTTCTCTCTCAGCTGTCTTGTTATATAGTTTTCAGACACAAACCCCAATTTCAGCCAATCCATGAGTCCCCAATTACACAGCATCTGATTAACACCTGCCGGTGACCTACTTACAGCTGTCTGACAATTGGCTACCATCTGACTTGCATTTATGCAACTTAAAGCCTAAGCTTAAATTTCAGCTTCATTGTCGTCTTAATTGTCCCTAGGCAGTCATTTTGTCTGCTTCTGCTTTTGCTGAAAACCTGTTCCACATTGTGTGTTGGGAGAAAGAGAATGTTTCTCAACGACTCCTGTTTCCCTTGAGGCAGATTATTTTTGAAACTTGTGACCGTGACTCCTTCATTCAGTTTAATGCCAATAGTCATCACTTATTGCCTGCATCCCTCAGCAGTGAGCTGTTACTCTCCACAAATGAACATCTTTTTTCTTGGATTGGCAGAAATTATAAACCAGTGATTGTTTGTTCAAATGATTGAATGGACTGTCAGATTTCCACTCTGTAATTTCCCCTTCCCTGATCATTGATTATTGTTGTGAGAGCTGCTGTTTTGACACTGCACAACTGTTAGCTATCTCAAAAATTGGCTTAAATTAGCCAATATTTTTCTTGCTTCTTGATAATGTACTAAACTTTGGAGCATGTTTCTCAAAGCAATGAACATATGACTGTGTCTGTATAAAAATGAACGAGATTGGAAAGAGGAGGAAAAGGCAATATGGGTAATCATACAACTTGGAGGAAAAATTGAATGCAGGCATTATGTATGTGGCTGAGAAAAGCCATTTTGTCGAAACTTTTTGCTTTGCACTCATCAGAGCATTTCACAGTGGGCAGCACACAATAGTGAAGTATCTCTGGCCAATTTCTCAAGAAGGGCATGCCTCCAGAAAGCCTGACTGTTAACTGCCTATCCGTGTCAATAAGTGCATTCTCCATGGCATTGCCTCTACCAGTCAGAGTCCACTTGCCAACGAATCAGTGCTGTCTTCTCGTGCAGTATAAAGGTATAAATGATGGTTTTTCCCTTGAATTATTATTTTCTTCAAAATGTACTGCTGACTGCTTGATGATAAAGCTTTGATAAAATGTCTTTTTTTCAGTAATACCCAAATTCTGCCCTGCCCAAAGACTTGCCTCTGAGAAGATATCGGACAAATTTGGTTTGTTTTTGCTTGAATGTCGAAGGATGAGACATGACCTGATAATAGTTTACGAACTTATTTGCAGTATGGATAGAATGGACTTTTGGAGTCTTTTTGTTTCCCCAGGGACACAAGTTTAAGGTAAAAGGGGGTAAGTTTAAAGGAGAAGAGAGGCAGATTTTTTTTTAACCAGAGGGTGGTAAGTGCCTGGAATGTGCTGCTAGAGGAGGTGGTGGAGGCGAATACAATAGCAATGTTTCAGAGGCATCTTGACAGGTATGTGAATATGCAGGAATTGAGGGAAACAAGGACACCCAGGTCCCTACAGCATGCTGATGTGCAGAGGGTCCTGGGTGAACTTGTGCATGAATCACAAGAAGTTGGATTGCAGGTGCAACAGGTAGAAGGCAAATGGAATATTGTCCTTCATCGCTAGAGGGATGGAGTTTAAAAACAAGGAGGCTACGCTGCAGCTGTAGGGTGCTGGTGAGGCCACACCTTAATTGAGAAAGAATGTACTGACACTGGAGGGGTGCAGAGGAGGTTCACTAGGTTGGTTCCTGAGTTGAGTGGAGAGGCTTCTGAGGACAAATTGAGTAGACTGGGACTATGCTCATTGGAATTTAGAAGAATGAGGGAGGGAATATTATAGAAACATATAAAATTATGAAAGGAATAGATAGGATAGAAGCAAGGAGGTTGTTTCCACTGGCGACTGAAACCAGAACTAGGGAGTAAAGCCTCAAAATAAGGGGGAGAAAATTTAGGACTGAGTGAGAAGAGGAAAGCCTTCTCCCAAAGGGTTCTGAATCTGTGCAATTCCCTGCCGAGTGAAACAGTTGAGGCTACCTCGTTGAATGTTTTTAAGGCAAAGATAGATTTTTGAACAGTAAAGGAATTAAGGCTGATGGTGAACTGATGGGTAAGTGGAGCTGAATCACGAAAATGTCAGCCATGATCTTGTTGAATGGCAGAGCAGGCTCGAGGGGCCAGATGGCTTACTTCTGCTTCTATTTCTTATGTTGTTATGAAACAGACCATAGAAGGAAGAAGTTTTTAGTTGAGAAAGGCATCGCACGTCAGCACAGTCTTGATGGGCCGAAGGGCCTGTTCCTGTGCCGTACTGTTCGTTGTTCTATTTGCATTGTGAATGCTGACTGATCAGACTGATGAATCTCCAGTGAAGTTAAGCAACATTTTGAAACTGTTCAGCAGTGGAAGAGCTTTCCTTTCATCTCTATTGAAGTTACCTTAATTATACCATGCATGTGATTTTGTTTTCCTCATGAGCAGGTTAAGATTTTTAAATGGAGCAAAAAAGATTGAGCTAGGTTGGTTTACCTGTGCAATTGATTTTTAAGAGTTCCCTTCATTCAGAGTATTTTTAAATCCAGTTTCCTTCTGCATAAAAGGTGCTATCTTATATTTCAATGTCTGCTTAATTATCAGTTAACCTTTATTGCAATGTTCTCACCAGACCAACATGGTTTAACTTAATTTGAGGATTAAACAATCTGACAATTTGGCCATTTCAGTGTTAGTAACATATTTCTGTATCATCTTCAGCATGGTTTGGTTAACCATATTTTCATCTGCATGTCTCATTCTCTCTCTCTGCCCTCTCCTTGCCACCACACCACACCCACCTCTCCCCTCTTCTTCCCCCCCCCTTTCATTTTGTGACTAAGACATGTACTTGCCAATAATCAGCAATGTTTTAGGTTCATTAAGTCTGTCCTCACTATGCATTTTTATAGGCCATTGTCGCTTTAAAGGAAACAGCTCAGAAGGATGAAGGTGTTTTCAAAGCTCCTCCCCCTCCACCCCGTGTGATCAAAACAGTGACGATACCCACCCAGCCATACCAAGACATTGTAACTGCACTGAAATGTAGAAAGGAGGATAAAGAGGTACTGGGCTTGACTGTCCTCGGTTTAACTTGTTTCATGTGAAAAAGCATTTTGTGAGTTTATTAAAGTATTATCTAATATGAGAAGCATGTTAGTTGCTCCCTAATGAAATACTGAAGATAGATGAAATGACCAATATGCCACATAGTGTGCATACTTATAATTTTTCACACTATTCACAACTGTATCCATTCCTCTGCACTGGTCCGTGGCTGTCAATGTTTCCCTGCCACTTGGTGCTCTTTGGGCAACACAATGTAGAATGGCAGCAGTGTTTGTTCCCCACTTAGCCATCCCTTTCTGCATTGTGTCAAAGGTAATGTTGGAGGGTAGAAGGTGCTGGGTAGAGCTGCATTCTTTTGTCACAATTGCCCATTTCGGCAGGATCGCTTCCGTAGCCATAAGTGAGAGCTTGCAGACGGGGAAATTGCTGATTTGCAGAACCTTTTTGAGAATTACAGAAATGATTCCATCAAAGCAAAGAAATCTGTTCTTTTTAAGTTTATAGCCCCACAGGAGGCCAACCAGGTATCCTAAACTGAGCTATCCCATTTGTCTGCGTTGGGTCCATATTCCCCTGAACCTTTTCCTATTCAATTACCTGTCCAAGTATCTTTTAAATGTTGAAATTGTATCTGCCTCTTTGGCAGGTCATTCCACATCTATACCACCCTCTGTGTGGAAAAAGTTGCCCTTCGGGTCCCTTTCAAATTTTTCCGCTCTCGCCTTAAACCTATGCCCTCTAGATTTGGACTCCCCTTCTCTGGGGAAAAAGTCTGGGCTATTCACCTTATCTATGCCCCTCATGATTTTATAAACATCTATAAGGTCACTCCCAGCCTCCAATGCTCCAGGGAGAGAAAAGTCCTAGCCTAGAGTTAGACCAAAGGTCTAACTCCATGCTGTATTATTATATGATGAGAAAATTTTGACTTAAACCAGCTTCTACATCAACTCTGTTAGCCACCTGAGGGATGTTTCTTAACATTCCAGGATGAAGGATACCTGCACAGTCTCTGTGGTTCAGTGACAGTGGGCACCAAAATACACACAGTCCCATGTCGTCATATTACGTGCCTGGTGTGGCAGCTCATCAGCACCTGCAAGATCTGTAGGTCTATCTACAATTAGTATCAACCAGGGAGTGCTTATACTAAACTGCCTTGCAGATTAATTGGACCAAGTACTGTCTGTGCTGAGCTATGATGTGCTGGTTTCAGCTTTGGTTTTGCTGTGCCAGGTTAACTCTGATTTCTGCCATTGTAAACAGCATGTTATATTTATTTTAGTTGTACACTGTGGTCCAGCATGTGAAGCACTTCAACGATGTGGTAGAATTTGGAGAAAACCAGGAGTTTACGGATGACATTGAGTACCTACTCAGCGGACTGAAATGTTCTCAGCCTCTCAACACACGCTGCCTTAGGTATGCTTCTATGAGTGGTGTCTCTTCTCGAGGGTCGTTTAAATATCCTCTCTAATTATTTTACATGTGACATTACAGTCTTGAGCTTCAGTATTATGTAGATGCTCTGTATCTTGTGGGTACACTGTTCTGAGAGATCCTGGGGCAGGAAAGTGGTGCTTGTTGAAGAACAAATTGTACTTTTGTAATCTGCAGAATAAGCAAGCAATTTTGTCAGATACCACCAACTCTGTCATAATTGTAGCATCTTGTTGATGGAGTCATCCCTGATCTCTAACTAATTTAGTGTATCTTTCATCTTTTAATCAAATGACTAAGAACTATTACAGCACAGGAAACCGTTTGTTCCATTATGTCTGCACCATCTCACCCTCTGCCATTCGTCTGCCTTCTCCTTTAAACCTGAACATCGTTCTTTTTGAAATAACTGTTGAACTCCATTTTGAAACATAGAAGACCACAAAAGCTAGGAGCAGGAAGAGGTCTTGTGAGCTTGCTCCATCATTCTGTGTGATTATGGCTGATCCTCTATCTCAATACCATTTCTTGCCATGCCCCTTTGTCCATATTCTTTGATGCCTTTAATACCTAAACAAAAATTATCAAACTTTTTCTTGAATGCATTTAGTGCCTTCACCTCAACGGCCTTCAGTGATAATGAATCCACAAGTTGACCACCTCTGAGTGAAGAAGATTTCCTCATCTCGGTCCTAAATGGCACTGTGACCCCTGGTTCTAAACTTCACAACCAGGAAAATGTCCTCCCTGCTCTAGTCTATCCCATCTTCTTAGAATACTCTACATTTCAATCAGATCCTCCATCATTCTTCTAAATTCTATTGAATACAGGCCCATTTGAGCCAATCTTTTATACAACAGTCCTGCCATGTCCAATATCAGCTTAGTGATGGCAAATATATCCTGTCTTAGGTAGGAAGACACTATTCCTGGTGTTCCAAAGCCCTGTATAACTGCAGTAAAACAACCTTATTTCTGAACTCAAATTGTCTTACTTTGAAGGCCAGCACACGATATACTTTCCTAATTGCTTTCTGCATATGTCTGTTTACTTCCATTGTCTGGTGTTCAAGGACACCCATATTCCTTTGTGCATTTACATTTCCAATGTCTCACCATTTTAAATAATACTCTGTCTTTCTGTTTTCCACACCAAAATATATAACTTCACATTATCTGCATTGTATTGCATCTGCCAAATATTTTCTCCGCACACTCCGCATGTGTGGGTTGCCTTATTATTCTCACTGTTTTCGGTCTGTTAAACAATTCTCAATCCATGCCTGTATATTACCCCAGTCCCATATGCACTAATCTAGCCCACTCGCCTCTTAAGTGGGACCTTATCAAAAGCCTTCTTGAAATCCAAATAGACCATATCCACTGCTTCTCTTTTAACTATTCTATTAGTTATATCCTCATAGCCAGTAGATTAGTTAAGCATGATTTCCCTTTCATAAACTCACACGGACTTTGTCTAGCCTGTTAATGCTTTCACATTTATGTTATCACATCTTTTATAATAGACACTAGCATTTTGATTCTGTTATTTTGCCCACTTCTAATGTTAGGCCAAAAAGCTTGTAATCTTTTTTCCCTCTGTCTCCTTTTTAAATATTGGGTTATATTTGCCACTTTCCAATCTGTAGGAATTGCTCCAGAGTATATCGAACTTTGAAAAATGACCACCAGTGTATCCAATATTCCACTTCCTTTCATACTGTAGGATAGAGATTAACGGGCCCTATGAAATTGTCAAACACCAGTTTCTTTACTAATACTAACTTTGCTTCAATTCCTCACTCTCATTGTTTCCTTAAATTTCTGTGTAATTATTTGTCGTCTTTTGCAAAGATAGAACCAAAATATGTGTGAAATTGTTCTGTAATTTCTTTGTTCTCTGTTGTAATTTCCCCATTTCTGGCTGCAAGGAGCCTCCATTTGTTTTTATGAATCCTTTCCTGTTATGTTTATGGAAGATTTTACAGTCAGTTTCATTTTCTTACTAATTTACTCTCTCTCTTGCTATTTTTTTCTGGAAATTTTGTGTCTGCTGTTTGGACCTTATACTATTCCTAATTTCTTTCTGAGCCATTTCTTTAAATAAAGTTACTATGCGTTCTCGGCTGAAAGAACTTGCACATTAAAATATAGAATTGAATGTGAAGTGAATGCACCATTTAGTAAGAGCTCGAATTGACCAGGCTGTGTATCGTGGCTGAACTAGGTCAGTTAGGTATCAGCTGAAATCCTGGGGCTACAAACAATGGCCAATATCTAGCACTTGATGAAGTCCAGGAACTCTGAGTTCAAGAATGGAGTATTGAGAAAAACTCTAGGACCTAAGACGATAACAGAGGGCAGGAGACAAGTCCTTGGGTCCTTGGTGGGTATAAAGCCAGAGGAGCAGGCCTAGGGATAGAAACAAAGCCTCTGGGAGGGGGAGAGGGGCAGTAGGGAACAAGGTTGGAGTGAGGTAATGTTGACAACCAGGGTAGTAGCAGGGAGGAAAAGGGACTATGGGCAAGAGCAGTGAAGCTGGAGGGGAGGTCATATGAAAACGTAATTCACTGAATGGGAGGTTTGTGTTAAACGAGGCTTAAGTGAACTTGACAACGTCAAATGGATATTTTGCCACCGTATTAAAAGGTTAACACAAGACAAAGCTAAGGGAGTCTATGTTAAATAGGGACTTGCTGTGTGAAGAGAAAAAAAAATCTTCTAACTCTCTGCTCATGATTAATGCTTCTAAGTTCTCATGTATTCCTGCTGGTCTCTGGCTCCTTTTCTCAGTTGATCCCTTTTTTGGATCTTTTATATGAAAGCACCTCCTCCCAGGAGGTACTTTGGTGCATTTAAATCGCCAAATTCCAAAGCATTCTCACTATTTCACACTCCACGACAAGCTGTCCTTGTACTTGCTCACCATATCCACTAAGCAAGGCCACCTATGCCTCGATGGGCAAATCAATGCTGAAAGTTATGTTTAATTTTCCCACCAGTTATGTGATATGTTACACATTCCTGCTAATTAGTATGAGTATATTGTGTATCTGTGCCACCTGCCATTCCTTGTGCAACTACCTATGCTGCTGCTTATCCAGTATCTATTCTGTAAATGTGGTCCTGTGTGCTTTGATCTCTTGAAGGATTGATTCTTTTTATCTTCCAGTATTATTAGTCTGGCCACCAAGTGTGCCATGCCAAGTTTTCGAATGCATCTGAGGGCTCATGGGATGGTAGCCATGGTCTTCAAGACACTGGATGATGCACAGAAGAACCAGGTATAACTTCATACTGTAGGAAGGAATTTTCTGTGTAATTTTATTGACCATATTTTAATGCAGTCAATTACTTAAGGCATTTAATATGAATATTTTCTGACAATAACTAACCCTGTGCCACATGGGATTTTAGATGGCCAAAAGCATGGTAACTTTTTTTTTGAGAAGCCCCTTAAAAAGGAAGGGAGATGTAGAGAATTTGTTCACTTGCAGCTGCAGGCATGACTGCCAAAGGTGCAGCAGTGACTGAGGATTGTGAAAGAGCATGAAATAGAGGAATGCAGAGATCTGAGGAGATTACTGTGGGAAGGCCATAGAGAGTTTTGGAAGATCATAAGTGGGAGCTGAAGTAGGCCATGCAGCCCATCAAGTCTGATCCTGCCAATCAGTGAGATCACAGCTAACCTGATAATCTTCCTCTCCATTTCCCAGCCTTTTCCCTATAACAGCTCATTTCCGTAGTGATTAAAAATCCATCTATCTCAGCCTTAAGTATACTTTAATGACCCAACCTCAGCAACTCTTTGTGGTAAAGAATTCCACAGATTCACTACCCTCAGAAGAAATTCCTTCTCATCTGTGTCATAAATGGGTGATTCTGTACTCTTGAGATTATTTTCTCTGGCCCTAAACTCTCCCACAAGACGAAACAAGCTCTCTGCACCTCCCCTTTTAAGACTCCTAAGAATCTTGTATGTCTCAATAAGATCACCTCTCATATTTCTAAACTCCAGTGTGTACAGGCCCAATTGATTTAATGTTTCCTCATAAGACAATCTTCCATTTTGGCATCAGCCTAGGAAACCTCTGGACTCTCTCCAGTTCCTGCATATCATTCAGCTATGGTCTGACTAGCACCTGGTATAGTTTTGGCAAAACCTCCCCACATTTACACTACATTCTTTTTGAAATAAAGGTCGACATTCTATTTGCCTTTCCTGTTACCTTCAGAGCAGACAGTTGAAGCTCACAATGCTCATTTTGGGCAAAAGATCAGAAAGATTTTCAGAGCTTCTCTTGAACCTTTCTCAGCGTCTACTTTTTGAATTTTGGGGACTGCTTTTTCAATCTCACTAACTCATTTATTAGATAATGCAACCACAAAGTAGCAATATCTTTGTATTTGTTTTCACAAATGGGGTACTTGGACTTGTAGAAAAGCAGAATTAGAATAATTCATCAGTATCCTGAGTCATGAACAGCTGTCCATTAAACATAAAATCACAGCAAACAAGGAAAACATTTATTTCCTCACTCAACAGTATTTAAACTGGCGCAAGACCGCAGGCAGAAGTTAACAAAATAATTTTTCAAAATAAACCAAAGAGCTAGAGAAGCTCAGCAAGTCTGGCAGTTTCTGTGGAGAGAGAAAGAACTAACAGTTCAAGCCTGATATGACTTGCTAAGAGAAGAAATGTGCTTTTGATGTTCTAAATAACTAATATGCATTTCTACATACAAAAGGTTTTCACCCTAAATGTACTTCATAGATTGATAGGGTCAAGCTAGAATGTTTCCAGAACACCTGCACGAAGCTAGGACAGTTTTTTTGAACAGGCAGTTCAAATATAATTTATTGCATCTCATACTTGAACTTAACAAAAAACAATGCTCATTGCAGTTAGAGGCCATTTGGTTCATCGAGTCTGCACCAATCTTCCGAAGAGCCATCCCACCCTATCCCCGTAGCCCTACATTTCCCATGGCCAATCTACCTAACCTGCACATCTTTGGACTGTGGGAGGAAATCGGAGCACCTGGCAGAAACCCACGCAGACACAGGGAGAACCTGTAAATTCCACACAGACAGTCCCACTACCTTGATCGTGGGATGTACAAAAAGGGGGAAGGTTCAAAACTTAGCAACTCGTAACTGGTACCCAACAACATTACTGATTTTACCCCAAGCCCATCAGCAGTGTACCCAAATGTGGATTCATCTGAAAATCTCAAGATTAAACCCAACAATGATTCAGTGTCCTATCTGTTATATTTGTATTTCCCAGTACAGTAGCTACTGACCGTATACAGCCTCAAACTAGAGAATAGAGTCATCCAACGTGAAAACAGACCCTTTGGCCCAACTCGTCCACGCCACACAGGCATCCCAGTCTGACCCAGTCCTATTTGCCAGCATTTAACTGTTATCTGTCTAAACCCTTTCTATTCATATACCACATTAATTTTCTATGAATTTCCATGTTTCAGTGATTTGAAGTTTCTAATATCAGTTACCTGAATATTTCTTTGTTGTCGGGTATAAAACTATTCTGTCTCTCTTGAAGCCGCCTATTTCCAGTAGCCCCCTCAGCCCATGGCTAAAGGTGGCTCCAGTCTTCCTGATCTGCCCCCAGTCCCTACCATCAGGTCAGATCTAAAAACTAGCTTGAAAGAACAAGGTTGGATTTTTTTGGTTTTAACAAGGTGGTGTGTCATTGAAACGTAAGCAAGCAATGTTGCAGGTATGGTTTTAACAATAAAACAGAAGCTTATTTCATAAAATAACAAGGTGAAATAGAATAAATCCAAATTATTTCCACACAGTGCAAGTTTAGAGATATTGAAGCCCACTAAATATAATCCCACTTGAGCCCAAAGCACCCCTTGTACACTACTCACACCAGAGAAGAATCCAAAAAGTTCTGAACAGAAACCCTGATGCACATTTGTTCGCATTACTTGGCCTCCTAATACAGACACACAGCCATTTCATAGAGTCATAGTCATAGAATCATGCAGTATCGAAACAGACCCTTCAGGCCAACTCGTCCATGCTGACCAGATGTCCCAATGTGACCTTGTCCCACTTGCCAGCATTTGGCCCATATCTCTCTCAACCCTTTTAATTCATATACCGATTTTACATGTTGTAGTTGTACCCGCCTCCTCCACCACCTCTGGCAGCTGATTTCGTACACTCACCATCCTCTGCATGAAATAGTTACCCCTCGGGTCCTTTTTAAATCTTTTGCCTCTCTCCTTAAACCTATCCCCCACCCTAGGAGAAAGACTTTGGCCATTCACCCTATCCATACCACTCATGACCTTATAAACCTTTCTAAGGCCACCCTTCTTCCTCTGACACTCCAAGGGGGGAGAAAAAACCCCAGCCTATTCAGCCTCTCCCTATAATTCAAACATTCCAGTCCCAGCAACATCCTTGTAAGTCTTTTCTGAACCCTCTCCAGTTTAACAAAATCTTTCTTGTAGAAGGGCAAACAGAATTGAACTTTTTATAAACTTGTAAAACAAGTCACATGACTACAGAAATGTTTACAAGTTAGAAATAAAATCATTCAAACATACAGAACAGCCACATATCTCTCATTCAGATTTCAAAAATCCAAACTTTAATGATTAAAAATGTATGTAAACCACACACCCTACATCTCTCACTCACTGCCAACGTTTATGCTCACTGTGGACTAGGCAATTATCAGCACATGAGTGAACCAAACTATGACTGGAAAAGCAGCAGCTCGCCATTTCTCTGTATTCTGTTTGCAACGATGATTTTTCTCCCCTTGGTCACTCCAGTGCACACCTTTTCCCATGCTCTTTGGGGTTTTCAGGGTCAGATTATCCGCTGCTTCTGTGTATTTTGAGCCCTACGTTGGCTTGGGAGCTAGTGTAGGTCAGCAAGTTGAAAGTGGTGGGTGAACAGAACTTGGAGAGAGTTAGGATTTAGGAGACAATTTTATTGAAGATTTATGTGCAAACTGGTGAAAGGAGGAAAGGTTGACCAAGAGCATCCTGAATTTCTTCGGAACAGTGTGTTGTTGTTCATCTCCTGGATCCTGTTCTGTTGTTTATTTGTATCATTATTGTAATGCATTGTGACTCCTTTGACCTGCCATATAATACAAAAATCTATTGTACACAGTCTGTAAAATTTCAAAAGACTCCCCACATCAAAGCCTTCTGGTGATTGTACCAGATTTGGATGTCCCCTTTCTGATTGGTTTGGCTCTTTTCAAGTCCATTTGTTCTGGACTGTTCCATCATTACTGGAGGAATTATCTTTATCTACCCTAATAAATTTATTCATCTGAAACAACTCAATTTGGTGTTATCCTCAGTCTTCAATGTCAGAGAGAGCTGCCTACTGTGTGCAAACTGCCTTATTATCTAACCTTTTGAATCCCTCCAAATCCTGGGGAATTTTCAGTGCAACTGTTCCCCTGCCTCTTTGCTTAACTGCAATGATACTTGGTGTCTGACCAAACTTCTTTATGAATGTACTGCAATTGCCTACTTTTGTATACCATCTGCTTGAGATAAGGGCTGACATTTCATTAGCCTTTTGAATTTTTTTTTTGCAGCTGTTCAATTGGGTTTTAATTGTCTACTTAGATACCCAAATCTCTCTCTCTCTTTTCTTGTCACTTAGAAAATATTCCAGTTTATCTCCTTGGATCCAAAGTGGGCGATCTTGACTTCGGCCACATTGCATTCTATCTCTCATCTTTTGGCCCATTTAGTTAATCTCTGTCCTTTTGCAGTTGCCTTCTCTCTGCTTGACTGTTTACTATTGGTTATGGACATGATTCCCCTTGATCTCTGGACCAATGCCCTCCACCTCCCATGGTTTTGGGAGTTTATAGGTCGAGATTACCTCTTGTTATTCTTTGAGTATCTTGGCCCTGTCTCTAGTCAAAATTGGAAGTACAACAGTGTAGGAAGGTATTCTGTCCACTCCTGAGGCAAGCCATGGCTTGTTGCCAGGGCATGCTTAGCTGACTCGCATGGATCCCTCTCCTGTCCACTCACCATCCGTCCCCATGTGCTGCAGCTCCTCTGTTCATTGTTTCCTTCCTAACCTTGCTTTTTTTTATCCTCAGAATTTAGCCCTTTGCACAGCAGCACTAATGTACATCCTGAGCCGAGACCGATTGAACATGGATCTGGATCGAGCTAGTCTGGACTTGATGATCCGGCTTCTAGAGATGGACCAGGACCCGTGTTCACGACAACTGAATGAGAAGGAAATGAAAAAGATCAAAGAGAAAATTCGTAAGCTCTGTGAAACTGTTCACAACAGGCATCTAGACCTGGAGAACATTACGGTAAGAACAAATATACCTTGGGGAATATTTTAATCACAGCTTCAGAGATTCTTCAGAAAGCTGTGATTAGTTGCAAACAGGGAAATGTGATTCTCATTTAACATCTTGCACAAACTGTTAAAGCCTTGTAGTACCTACTCTTAGAAGGTTGACCAACACCAGATGATTACCCTAACCCTGACCCAATCTGGCAGTGTAACTCACTGAAAGCATAAAGACCTATTTCATAGGTTATTCATACACTTGGGTTCCATTGGAGCTTTGCTGTCTGAATTCTAATGAAACCATTAAAGAAAAACGCAGATAAACCAATAGATGCATCTTCCACTGCATTTGCCCAAGCTGTTCGAAATATTGAAGCGTTTTTGCATGCAGTTAGATTTGTTGTGAATGTAGCAACCTTTATGTACATGGCGACCTTCCACAAACTGAAGTGTAGTGATTCACAGAGGCAGCTCTACCACCTTCTCCAGAAAAGCAAGGGATGGGCAATGAATCCTGGCCCAATCTGCAAAGCCCACATCCCATGAACGAATTTTACTGTACTTACCCTGGCATGATATTTCATTTTAATAGTGAAACATTTGCTGTGCTTCACTACCTCATGAGTGATTCATATTGTTGCTTTGAAAGAGCAATTACTAAAATGTCTGATGAGACAACTCATTTGTTAATCTCAGTTGATGCACCTGCCCACAGTGCTGAAGGTGAGTGACAGCTCTGTAACTCCATCTTGAAGTTTCCACATTGTCAGGCTGTTTGAAATGTAAACGTTGTAACATGCAAGAATGAATAGATCAGATGAAGATACACCCTCTTTAAACTTCAATCACTTTAAAGCTGTCTTTCAAATGTTATGATGTTTTCTTCATTCAGCTTGCATGTTAAGCTGTAAACCTGTTGAAATGGGGAGCAGTTCTTCCTTTACCCATGATCTCTATTGACATTCGTCAAGGCAGCCAGGCACCATGTTCAACTAATTTTCATAGCATGCCTCCAAAGTTTCAGCAGTGTGCTAATCAATACAGACCTTTACTACAATTAAGATGACACTCTTGGTCAAAACAAGTTCAGAAACACAGGATTTGAAGACTAAAGCCAATGCACAGTGACCAACTCGTTATATGACTCAAAGAATAAGGATGCTGAAATTCTCTTGGACTAAATTTTGAATATCTGTTTTGAATGTCTGTTCATGTGAAATTAACACCTGGCCCTCAAGTCATGCAGAGTAAACATTTACTTACTGAAGTTTGACTCATTAATCCTAGCCGTCGATCAGTTACTACTTAGATAAAGGACTGCCTTCACTGTTTTACCCAACCTGTTGTGGAGGTGCCAGTGTTGGACTGGGGTGGACAAGGTTAGAAGTCACTCAGTACCATGTTATAGTTAAAAATTTAGGTTTGTTTGAAATCGTAAGTTTTCAGAGCGCTGCTTCTTTGACAGGTAAAGTGAAGAGAAGCACACAGGCACAGAATTTACAGCCGAAAGATCAAAAGATCTCACAGTTTGTGTGAGTGGACTGTCGACAAGCTGAATAACAAGTCTGTGCAGGTGATCAAGTGTGTCAGTGTGAGTAAAGTGTCAACAGCTGAATAACAAGCGAAGGAACAGCCTATAATCAGATTAAATGAGGCAGAGAGATAATTACAGAAAATTAAAAATAAGGTGGTACTGGAGACAAACCAAATGACTGGAATAACATGATAGGAAAATGAGTCGCCTGCCGAGGGTCTAACCAAAGTAACAAGTAATCCAAAATTGTAAAAACCAATTAAGGTGGAGCGATCAAAACAAGATGTCAAGGTGATGGTGTCAAAACAGGACACAAAGATTTTACAGAACAGTGTGGTGGAGTTATATGGAGCATGGCATAAACCCAAGATCAAAGTTGAGGCTATCCTTATGGTTATGGAACTTGGCTATCAGTCTCTGCTCGGTGATTCTGCATTGTTGTGCATCTCTAAGGCCGCCTTGGAGGACACTTACCTGAAGATCAGAGTGTGCAGTTTTGGGCCCCATATCTCTGGAAGGATGTACTGGTCCTGAACCGGGTTCAGAGGAGGTTCACGAGAATGATCCCAAGAATGGAAAGCTTAACATACGAGGAATGTTTGAGCATTCTGGGACTACACTCATTGGAGTTTAGAAGGATGAGGGGGGATCTAATTGAAACTTTCAGAATACTGAATGGCTTGGACAGAGTGGATGTTGGGAAGATGCTTCCATTGGTAGGAGAGACTCGACCCGAGGGCGCACACCCTTCGAGTAAAGGGAAGACCTTTTAGAATGGAGATAAGGAGAAACTTCTTCAGCCAGAGAGTGGTGAATCTATGGAATTCACTGCCACAGAAGGCTGTGGAGGCCAGGTCATTGAGTACATTTTAGAGATAGATAGGTTCTTGATTATCAAGGGAATCAAGGGTTACAGGGAGAAAGCGGAAGAATGGAGTTGAGGAACTTAGCAGCCATGATTGAAAGGCGGAGCATGCTTGATGAGCCGAATGGCCTAATTTCTGCTCCTATGTCATATGGTCTACTTATAGTCTTATGGCTGCATGTCCTCGACTGCTGAAGTGTTCCCTGTCTGGCGTTTGTTGCGCAGTGTTCATTCATCCGTTGCTTCAGCGTCTGCAGCATATGAGGTAGACAACATTGGCCGAATCACATGAGTATCTGTCATATACTTGGTGGATGGTGTCCCCACATGTGATGGTAGTGTTCGTTTTGATGATCTGACATTTTTGATCACCAGCAAGGGCATTGTATTCAGCTTGTCGACACTCCAGTCGCACCATTTGTACAATCTTTTGATCTGTCTGCCTATAAACTCTGTGCCTGTGTGCTTTCCTTCACTTCACCTGATGAAAGAGCAGCGCTCCAAAACCTTGTGATTTCAAATAAACGTGTTGGACTATAACCTGGTGTCGTGTGACTTCTGACCTTGTTTACCCAACCTTTTAGAGATGAATGCAGCACCACTTACGTGCACTGCCAGTTCCTGGATGTTTAATTCCTTTAGTCTTACACATTGCATTACTTCTGGTTTGAAATTGATGCCAAGGTTGTTTCAGTTTTTAATAAAATCTGGAGTGTGTTTCAGGGGGACTACAGTGTATAAGGTTGCTGTAGCCCTCATTATCTGTGAATCTACATCACAGTTGACATGTTAAACACCTTATTGATTGAAATTATACTAGGACTCATACTGTGCAATATGAAAGCTGTGGAAGTATTCCTCCTCACTTTCTGCAATCTCCTCACTAGGGAACAGTATTTGTGCAATTTCATCCATATACAGGTAGTCCTGCTATTGCTCGTGTTTCGTTAATGCAAATTGGCTATAATGCGACTGATGAATAGTGGACACTGTTTGAATGACGCAAACTTTCTGCTGTACAGCTATAGTGATTTTTCTGTGGCGTGAGGTTACAGAAGAACGCAACTATCGTGTTTATAGTAGAACTACCTGCACACTAACAACTCTGAACTTTATATAAGTGGAGATGCTGTTGCATTAGTCCTGCCATCTGGTGGTCGTTCTGATACTGCAGTGTTTTCTGCCGTATGGGTTGAGGCCTAGTTTCAGAATGGAATGTGGATTAGACCTAATCTTGTTTTAGCATATGTTTTATTGTTAACTGAGTTTCACTGATACATTGTTTCATTCCAAAAATAATTAGTGTTTTCCAAGAAAGATTGATAGAGTTCAAAGTTGATTTTTTTTGTTTGGCAATATGGGTAGAATATTATAATGAACATTTGCGTGAGAGTTTTCAGGACAGTTGCTTATTGCAACATTCAGACTGATCAGGATTGTCAGAGATGCCACCATTAAGCACAATACTTGGGTAAATGTTTTAAGTTTCCTGTACATCCAAAAAATCTAAATTGCAGCAGAGAATTCATAAAATTAGAAGGGAAAGAAAAACCTACACAACAGACCCAATAGAATTTGAAGGGAAAAAGTAACATTTGTATTTAAAACATGACAAACTAATAGCATTTTCACTCTACACCAGTCTCCCTTAACCTTTGACAAATTTGGGCCTGGACTGATACTTCAGGTCATTTGGCCTATTATATCTGTGCCAGTTAACAAAGATCTGGCTACACTAATCACTAACTTTCCAGATTTTGGCTAATGACCCTGAAGGCAATGACATTGCAAATTAATATCTGAATACTATGAAAATATTACAAGACTTTTTGACAACACTTTCAAAGCAAGTACTACACTCCCACCACCCTAGAGGAGAAATATTTTCACTTAAACTCACCTCTTGGTTTCTACCTCTTAACTTAAACCTATTCCCTAGGATATTGCCCCTTCTACTAATGAAAGCGCTGATAGATGCCTTCCTATCCACCCAGTCAATGCCCCTCTCAATCGTATGCATTTCTATCAGGTGCCCTTGCAATTTTTACTGTTCGAAGGAAAAAAGCCTAGCCTATCCAATCTTCCCTCAAACCTCAGATCCTTCAGTCCATACAACATCCTGATACATCTACTCTGTACCCTCTATTACAATCCCTCCTCTAATGTGGTGACCAGAACGGCACACAGTACTCCAGCTGTGGCCTAAGCAGCATTTCATATAGTTCTGTAATAACCCTCTTGTCTTGCACTCTAAGCCTTTCCTATTAAAAGCAAGTATCCTATATTCCTCTTTAACCACCTTATGTAACTGCTGTACTACCTTCAGGGATCTGTGGATATGCACATCAAGATCCCTCTGATTTTCAGTACGTTCCAGGTTCATACATTGTAATCCCTTGTCTTGTTAACCTTCCAAGTGCATTACCTCTCACTTCTCAGGATTTGAGTTGGATTGGCCAGTGCTCTGCCCACCTAACCAGTCCGTCAATATCCTCTTGCCGTTTGGAACAGGAAATCAGGACCACTGTAACCATAGTCTAGCAACACAAAGTGATGGAAGAATCGAACTTTCTTTGGCCCTAAGTTGTTGGCCAGTGCTCCCTGTCATCTGTTGTATGAACTCAAAACAAAAATGATGATCTTTCTGAGAACTTAGGAATTGTATTTGCAAGGGAAGGGGAAGGAGAGGGAGTGTTTGTTGTGGAATGGCTGTAGGCTATAGCAATCGCTACAGTTGGTGAGCACTGTGATTGTATGGGATTTGATCCTTTTATGTGTAATTTGGTTTTGTGCCTTCTTGCAACATTATTTTGAAAGCTGTGTATTAAGATGTGTTTTCTCTTTTGGACAGACTGGACATTTGGCCATGGAGACTCTGCTTTCACTCACATCCAGACGTGCAGGGGATTGGTTTAAGGAGGAACTCAGGCTCCTGGGAGGATTGGATCACATTGTGGATAAAGGTATTTCAGCGGCTGGAACAGTTACTCGTTTTACGTGGATTGACTACGAGCAAGAATTTCTACTTGTAAAGTGTCTATAATACAATAAAACATGTCAAGGCACTTTTCAGGAGCATTTTTAAACAAAATGTGATGCCAGTTGTGCAAAGAAATTTTTATTTTGTTCATTCATGGGCTATGGAAATCACTGGCTGGGCCAGCATTTATTCCTGTCTCCAGTTGCCCTTGAGATGGTGGTGAGCTGCCTTTGTGAACTGCCGCAGTTCATTTGATGTAATACGTCCACAGTGCCGTTAGGGAGGGAGATCCAGGAATTTGACCCAGTGACACTGAAGAAACAGCAATATACTTATAAGTCAAGATGGTCAGTGGCTTGGAGGGGATCTTTTTTCCCTGTATTTACCCTCAACTGGTAGTGGTTATGGGTTTTGAAGAGCATTGGTGAATTTCTGTGAGAGTTTTGTATGTGTTACACGCTACTGTTACCAAGCATTGGTGCTGGGGGAGCTCATGTTTGTGTATGTGGTGCCAATTGAATGGGCTGTTTTGTCCTGGATGATGTCAAACTTCTAACCTTAGTGATAGGCAAACGTTTGGAAAAAATTCTGTGCGACAAACTTAATCTCCACTGAGGTAAACATTGATCAAAGATAGTTAGCGTGGCTTTACAGGGGAGAATCATGTCTGGCTGGTTTTGTGGAGTTTTTTAAGGTGGTGATTAGATGTGTAAATGAGGGTGGTGCAGTTGGTGTAGTCTGCATGGACTTCAGAAAAACTTTTGGCAAGGTTTCGCCTGGGAACCTGGCCAAGAAGGTAAGAGCCCATTGTATTCAGGGCATTTTGGCAAATGGACCCAAACTTGGCTTAGTGGCAGGAAGTTTTCTTTTTATTCGTTTTGTGGGATATGGGCATCACAGGCTGGCCAGCATTTATGCCTGTCCCTGGTTACCCTTGAGAAGGTGGTGAGCTGCCTTTTGAATTGCTGCAGTCCACCTGCCTTGGATTGACCCACAATGCCAGTAGGGAGGGAATTCCAGGATTTTGACCCAGTGACAGTGAAGGAACGGCAATATATTTCCAAGTCAGGACGGTGAATGGCTTGGAGGGGAACTTGAAGGTGGTGGTGTTCTCCTATATCTGTTGCTCTTGTCCTTCTAGGTGAAAATGGTTGTGGGTTTGGAAGGTGCTGTCTGAGGATCTTTGGTGAATTTCTGCAGTGCATCTTGTTGATAGTACACACTGTTGCTACTGAGCGTCAGTGGTGATAAAAGCTAATTCTAAATTCTGGTGAAGGGAGTGGATGCTTGCGGATGTGATGCCAGTCGCAGGCTGCTTTGTCCTGGATGGTATCAAGCTTCTTGAGTGTTGCTGGGGCTGCATTCATCCAGGCAAGTGGGGAGTATTCCATCACACTCTTGATTTGCGCCTTGTAGATGGTAGACAGGCTATGAGGAGTCAGGAGGTGAGCTACTCACCATACCACTCTTAGCTTCTGACCTGCTCTTGTATTTGTGGTGAGTCCCATTGAGTTTCTGATCAATGATAACCCCCAGGATGTTGATAGTGGGGGATTCAGTAATGTTAACACCATTGAATGCCAAGAGGCAGTAGTGAAATTGTCTGTTATTGGTGAAGGTCATGGCTTGGCATTTGTGTGACAAAAATGTTATTTGCCGCTCGTTCAGCCCAAGTCTGGATATTGTCCAGATCTTGTTGCATTTGAACATGGACTGCATCAGTATCTGAAGAATCGTGAAAGGTGCTGAACGCTGTGTGGTAATTGATGAAGCAGCTGAAGATGGTTGGGCAGATGATACTACCCTGAGGAACTCCTGCAGAGATGTCCTGGAGCTGAGATGATTGACATCCAACAACCACAATCGTCTTCCTATGTGTCAGGTATGGCTTCAACCACCAGAGAATTTCCCCCAGTACTCATTGATCCCAGTCGAATTCAGCCTGGATGTCAAGGGCTGTCACTTTCACCTCACTTTGGAATTCAGCTCTTTCTTCCATGTTTGGATAAGGCTATAATGAGATCCAGAATGGATTTGGCCCTGGTGGAACCCAAACTGGATGTTGTTGAGCAGGTGCTGCTTGATAGCACTGTTGATTCCTTCCATCACTTTACTGATGATCGAGAGCAGACTGATGGGGTGGTAATTGGCCGAGTTGGATTTGTTTTGCTTTTTACACTGAGGGCATGCTTGGGCAATTTTCCACGTTGTCTGGTAGATACCAGTGTTGTAACTGTATTGGAACAGTTTGGCCAGGGGAGCAGTAAGGTCTAGAGCATAAGTCTTCAGTACTATTGCCGGAATGTTGTCAGGGCCTGTAGCCTTTGCAGTATCCAGTGTCTCCAACCGTTTGATGTCATGAGGAGTGAATTGAATTGGCTGAAGACTGGTATCTGTAATGCTGGGGGCCACTGGAGTAGGCCGAGATGGATCATCCACTCGGCATGTCTGGCCGAAAATTGCTGCGACGGCTTCAGCCTTATCTTTTGCACTGATGTGCTGGGCTCTTCCATCATTGAGGATGGGGATATTTGTGGAGCCTTCTCCTCCAGTGAGTTGTTTAATTGTCCTCCACCATTCACAACTGGATGTGGCAGGACTGCAGAGCTTGGATCTGATCCGTTGGTTATGGGATCACTTAGCTCTGTCTATCACATTTTGCTTATGCAGTTTGGCATGCACGTAGTCCTGTTTTGGTGGCTTAGCAGATTAACACCTCATCTTCTGGTATGCCTGGTGCTATTCCTGGCATGCCCTCCTGCACACTCTGAACCAGGGTTGATCTATTGAATCTGGCTTGATGGTAATGGTTGAGTGGGGGATATGCCAGGCTATGAGTTTACAGATTGTGCTGGAGTACAATTCTGATGATGGCCCACAGCACCTCATGGATGCCCAGTCTTGAGTTGCTAGATCTGTTCAATTTAGTCTACCCCATTTAGCACGGTGATAGTGCCACACAACACAATGGAGGGTATTCCCAATGTGAAGGAGGGATTTTGTCTCCACAAAGCCTGTGCGGTGGTCATTCTTATCGATACTGTCATAGACTGATGCGTCTGCAGCTAGCGGATTGGTAAGGATGAGGTCAAGTATGTTTTTCCGTCTTGTTCGTTCCCTCACCACCTGCTGCAGACCCAGTCTAGCAGCTATATCCTTTAGGACCTGACCAGCTCAGATCTGTAGTACTGTTGCTGAGCCACACTTGGTGATGGACATTGAAATCTGCCACCCAGAGCACACATTGAGCCCTTGCCATCCTCAGTGCTTCCTCTAAGTGTTGGTCAGCATGGAGGAGAACTGATTCATCTGCTGAGAGAGGACAGTATGTGGCAATCAGGAGGTTTACTTGCCCATGTTTAACCTGAAGCCATGGAACTTATGGGGTCTGGGGTCACTGTTGAGGACTCCCAGGGCAACTCCTTCCCGCCTGTATACCACTGTGCCACCACCTCTGCTGGGTCTGTCCTGCCGGTGGGATAGGACACATCCAGGGAAGGTGATGATGGTGTCTGGGACATTGTAAGGCATGATTCCATAGGTATGACTGTGACAGGCTGATGCTTGACTAGTCTCTGAGACAGCTCTCCCAATTTTGGCACTAGCCCCCAGATGTTTGTGAGGAGAACTTTTTCAAGGTCAACATTGTCTTTTCTAGGCCAAGGTCGATGCCAGGTGATCTGTCTCTTTCATTTCTTTGAGACTTTGTAGCAATTGGTATAACTGCATGACTTGCTAGGGCATTTCTGAGGCCAGTTGTGAGTCAACAACATTGCTGTGGGTCTACAGTCACATGTAGGCCAGACCAGCTGAGGATGGCTGAAGGACGTTAGTGAACCAGATGGTTTTTTTCCAACAATCGACAATGATTTCATGTTCATCAGTTTCTTAATTCCAGATTTTTTTAAAAATTAAAGTCTGATTCCACCATCTGCAGTCGTGGGATTCGAACCTGAATCCCAGAACATTTGCTGAGTTTCTGGATTAATAGTCTAGCTATCATAACTGTAGGCCTCGCCTACTCCTAAAGTAGAGGGTGACGGTCGATAGTTATCTTTTTGACTAGAAGTCTCTGTTCAGTGGTGTACCAGAGTTCAGTGCTTCGTCTCTTGTAGTTCATACTAACAACGTAGACTTGAATGTAGGAGGTTTGCTGGTAAGTTCACAGATGACAGAAGATTAGTGTGATAAATAGTGAGGAGGAAAGCCTTAGATTACAGGATGATACAGATGGGCTGAATAGTAGCAAATATAATTTAATTTATGAAGTGAGAGGTTATGCATTTTGGGAGTATGGACAAGGCAAAGGGATATGCGTTAAGTGGTAGGACCCTAGGAAGTACAGTGGATCTGAGTGACCTTGGTGTGCGTGTCCATGGATCCCTGAAAGCAGCAGGGACAGGTGGGTTAAATAGTTAAAAAAGCATACAGGGTACTTACCTTTATTAGTCAAGGAATTGAATATAAAAATAAGGAAGTTATGAGGGAGCCATTTAAGGTTTTGGTTTGGCCACAGCTGGAGTGCTGTGGAGCTCTGGTCACCACACTATAGGAAGGATGTGAATGTGCTAGCCATTGACTTGGCTGTTGCCTGTCCTGGAGTGATTCAGTGAAATTGTGAAAAAGTTCAATTTTAGTGACCACAGAGCAGCTGTACTAAGTTGAATAAAGTTTGTGTTCTTTAACGTAGCTTCAAACTTCTTATGAAGTATTTATAAGTTTGATGCATCATAATGTTAAGGGTATTTAAAACCAGAAAAATATTGGTGCCTGTACCTTTTATGCTTCAGCTTGCTGAGTGTGTCTGTTATGGTTGTTTTGGACTCTGGCACCAGGATTTTGCCATGAGATTTGTCTACCTTGTACTTTGACCTAAAAATACTTGATGCCAGAGAAGGTGAAACCCATGACTAGGTTTGTACAAACCTAATTCAATTTCTTTCTGCATCAACAGTAAAAGAATGCGTGGAGCAGTTGGATGAGGATGAAGAGCAGGACAAATTGGTTGCATCACTATGGGGTGCGGAACGTTGTTTACGTGTATTAGAGAGTGTAAGTATTACACAGATCAACAGTGCTCTACCTCAATTTGACCTTTGGAAAGGGCCTGAAAGCTTCTAAAAAAAGCCTGATGAATATGAAAGCAGGGGGGTAGAGAAATCTCTGAACAGTCTTGGTTTCTTGTTGGCAGTCACATGGCAGCACAAAATCATGGCTCACCTATAATGGGCCCTGTCCAGGGTTTATTCTGCTGCATTAAGATATCACAGGATTATTAACATCATAAAGCTATTTCTGAGCATCTTGAAATGTCATTCAGATGTAGTGCCCAAACATTGCTCTGGTTAGTGAGTAGAGTAAGCAACTTTACTGTATCACCGGTCTAAATGCAATCTTTTCAGTCCAGGTGAGGCAGAGTTCACCTATTGGCACCTGCCTAACACTGAAGCGTTTATAGGTAGAAATTGTCCTAGACCATGATAGCCTAGTCATCTCTCTAAATCAGGCACTTTAAATGCTTCATCACAGCATGAGCAGCAAATGAAGCAAACACTGGGGCCTGGATAAAACGTCCAGCTAGGCTCTCTTCAGTGCTTCAGTTATATCACCAGATGGGCAATACCTGATGAGCTCCAACAAGACTGTCTAGGTTAGTAAAGTAGTGGCTTTGTGTAGTAGGAATGTTGCAGGAAAACTTTCCAAACAGAATCAGAGTTGAGGTGCTACCTAAATAAAAACCAAAAGAACTGCGGATGCTGTAAATCAGGAACAAAAACAAAGTTACTGGAAAATCTCAGCATGTCTGGCAGTATCTGTGAAGGAAAAAACACAGTTAACGTTTCAGGTCCAGTGACCCTTCCTCAGACTGATGGTGGCTGGGAAAAAGTCAGTTTATATGCAGAAAAAAGGGAGGGGGATGGGGTAGAGAGTAAATGATAGGATAGAGCCTAAAGAGAGAGAAGAGCAGTTGGACAGATATAGAAGTTGATAACGATCAGGCTGGGAGGGTGAATAGCTGTTAATGGGGACTGTTAGTGACTAACAACAGGTGGTGTGTAATGGCAGGCTATGTAGTAACAAGGCCTGGTGTGTGGAGTAGAGGGCTGGGACATGGGAGAGTTTAGGCCCTAAAATTATTGAACTCAATATGAAGTCCAGAGGCCTGCAGGGTCCCCAAGTGGAAAACGAGGTATTGTTGTTCTTCCCAGCTTGCGTTGAGCTTCGCTGGAACACTGCAGCAAGCTAGAGACAGATGTTGGTCAGGGAACAGGATGGTGCATTAAAGTGGCAGGCAACAGGTAGCTCAGGGTCTTTTTTGCGAGCAGAACGTAGATGTTCTGCGAAGCGGTCACCCAGTCTATGCTTTGTTTCCCCAATGTAGAGGAGACCACATTGTGAGCAGTGAATGCAGTAGATTAGAATCTGGGAAGTGCAGGTGAAGTGTTGCTTTACCTGGAAGGTATGATTGGGCCCTTGGATACTGGGGAGGGAGGAGGTAAATGGGCAGGTGTTGCACCTTCGGTTACAGGGTAGGGTGCCACAGGGCTATGGGGGTGCTGTTGGGGGTGAAGGAAGTGTGGACCAGGGTGTCCCAGAATGAGCGGTCCCTGTGGAAGGCGGACAAGGGAGGAGAGGGGAATATGTGTCTGGTGGTGGCATCTTGCTGGAGGTGGTGGAAATGGCGTCTGATGATGTTCTGCATGTGGATGCTGGTGGCATGGTGGATAAGGACAAGGGGAACCCTATCGCTGTTGCGGGAGGAAAGAGAAGGGGTGAAGGCGGAAGTGCGGGAGATGGATCAGACCTGGTTGAAGGCCCTGTCGACAACAGAACTGGGGAATCCTTGGTTGAAGAAGAAGGTGGACGTTTCCGAGGCTCCCTTGTCGAAGTTGGCCTCATCTGAACATATACGACGTAAACAGAGGAACTGAGAGAATGGGATGGAGTCTTTACAGGAAGTGGGGTGTGAGGATGTATAGTCCAGGTAGGGTGGGAGTCAGTGGGTTTGTAGTGGATATTAGTGGCCAGTCTATCCCCAGAAATGGAAACAGAAATGTCAGGGAAGGGAGGAGTCAGAGATAGACCAGGTGAAAGTGAGGGCAGGGTGGAAATTGGAGGCGAAATCAATGACCTTTTCTACTTCCAGACGAGAGAGGGAAGCAGCACCAATGATATCATCGATGTATCGGAGAAAGTGTTCTGGGTGGGGGCCCAAATAGGACTAGAACAAGGAATGTTCCACGTACCCCATGAAGAGACGGGCGTAATTAGGGCCCATGCGGGTACCCATGGCAACCCCTCTGACCTGAAGAAAATGAGAGGAGTTAAGAGAAGTTGTCGAAGGTGAGGGTGAACTCGGCCAAGCGAAGGAGGGCGGTGGTGGGTGGGGATGGTTCAGGTGTTTGCTCCAGGAAGAAGCAGAGAGCCGTAGGACCCTCCTGATGGGGAATGGACGTGTAAAGGGATTGCACATCCATGGTAAAGAGGAGTTGGCTAGAGCCGGTAAATTGGAAGTTTTGAAACTGATGTAGGGCGTCAGAGGACTCAGATGTATGTGGGCAGGGATTGGACCGGGGAGAGAAGACTGAGTCAAGGTAGGAAGCGATGAGTTCTGTGGGGCAGGTGCAGGCTGAAACAATGGGTCTGCCAGGGCAGTCCTGTTTGTGGATTTTTGGAAGGAGGTAGAAGCAAGCTGTGCAGGGCTGGGGGACTATCAGCTTGGAAGCAGAAGTGGGGAGATCACCCGATTAAATGAGATCAGTTACCGTAGTTGATACAGTGGCCTGATGTGTCATTGTGGGGTCATGGTCCAGGGAAAGGTAGGAGGAGGTATCTGAGAGTTGATGCTCAGCCTCTGTAAGATAGAGGTCAGTATGCCAGACGACAACAGCACCACCCTTATCAGCAGGTTTAATAACAAAGTCAGGGTTAGATCGGAGTGCATGGAGAGCAGTCAGTTCGGAGGGAAATAGGTTGGATTCGCTGAGGGGGGGTGTGCAGAGAAATTGAGGTGACTAATATCACGTCGACAGTTCTCAATGAACAGATCGAGTGCAGGTAAAAGGCCTGAGGGAGGGGTCCAGGTGGAGGGAGAGTGTTGGGCAAAGGGGTCTGTGGGATGGGGAGAGGACTGCTGCCCAAAGAAATGAGCACGGATGTGAAGACGGTGGAAGAAGGGTTCGGTGTCATGTCATGCCCGAAATTTGTTAAAGTGGGGACGCAGAGGAATAAAGCTGAGGCCTTTGCTGAGTACAGAACGTTCATCATCAGAGAGCGGAAGGTTAGGAGGGATGGTGAATACCTGACAGGAGGCGGGGTTGGGGGAGAGGAAGGTTCCAGAGGGAAGGGGAGGAGAGGAAGGTTCCAGAGGATCATGGGTATCTGAGTTGTTGCATCTTGTGGACCTTGATGCCTGAAAGGAAAAGAAAAAGTTTCTTGTTAGCATGACGAATGAGCTGGAGGATGAAGTACAACTGTGGAGTGTGCAGTGCAGTGTGATGCGATGCTGTTGGAGAGAAATGTTGAGAGTGCGCGTGTGAACCCACATGGCACTGATTGTGGATCTTGGGATGCAGTGAGAGCAGCTGTCTGTAGAATGTTGAACATCACGGAGATATCTATGATCCTGGGAGGATTCAAAACACAAGGGATGAAATTTCAGTTGGAATCCACGTGGGGTGAGGTGCTACCTGGGTGATTTTAAAGTTAGAACAAGTGTTCACTTTCAGGAATTAGACTGTCAGTCCCTGTCCCAACATTCCGTTCTATATCTTGTAGGCAGTGTGGTTTTTGACTTAAAAGTTGAAAACTGAGCTTGAGTACTGATTTGGTTAATGGAATCTTTGCCAGGACAAAGTTCCCTTCGTCTTTGTATTTGAATGTGCACAGAGAGTAACTGTACAGCTGGTAGGGATAAAAAATAGTAAGTGATTAAACAAGGAGTATTGTTCTCCGAATTAATGTATTGCAGTGAATATTTAAAACAGTTAAAATAATTCTGTGACAATTCCTTGAAACAAATATACACACCATCGCGCGCACATTGCGCTTTTGTGAAACTGTGTTCACCGTCAGGAGTGTACCATTATTCTGTAGATGGAACAATTGAAAAGGAGATTTCTGGATATCAATGATTTGGTCTGATTTACCTTTGGAGGCCTCCTGCCTGGTAGGTCACTGCCTACCGAACTATTCAAACGTTGGTTCATGGTACATGCAAGTGTGTTTGTTAGCCATAGACCATAAGACACAGGAACAGAAATTAGGCCATTCGGCTCATCAAGTCTGCTCCGCCATTCAATCATGGCTGATGAGTTCCTCAACTCCATTCTCCCGCTTTCTCCCCGTAACCCTTGATCCCCTTGATAATCAAGAACCTATCTATCTCTTAAATGTACTCAATGACGTGGCCTCCACAGCCTTCTGTGGCAGTGAATTCCATAGATTCACCACTCTCTGGCTGAAGAAGTTTCTCCTTATCTCCGTTCTAAAAGGTCTTCCCTTTACTCTAAGGTTGTGCCCTCGGGTCCCAGTCTCTCCTACCAATGGAAGCATCTTCCCAACATCCACTCTGTCCAAGCCATTCATTGTTCTGTAAGTTTCAATTAGATCCCCCTCATCCTTCTAAACTCCAATGAGTGTAGTCCCAGAATCCTCAAACATTCTTCGTATGTTAAGCTTTCCATTCCTGGGACCGTTCTCGTGAACCTCCTCTGAACCCGCTCCTGGGCCAGTACATCCTTCCTGAGATATGGGGCCCAGAACTGCGCACAATACTCCAAATGTGGCTGGACCAGAGCCTTATGAAACCTCAGCAGTACATCCCTGCTTTTATATTCAAGTCCTCTCAAAATAAATGCCAACATTGCATTTGCCTTTCTGACTACTGACTCAACCTGCAAGTTTACCTTGAGAGAATCCTGGACTACAACTCCCAAGTCTCTTTACACTTCAGACTTCTGAATTTTCTCCCCATTTAGAAAATAGTCCATGCTTTTGTTGTTCTTACCAAAGTGCATGACCTCACTCTTTCCCACATTGTAGCCAAGCCAAGGGCACTAAGCTTCGCCCACCCCACAATCATCCATCAGTGTAATCTTAACAAGCGGTTATGAGGGGAATTGGACTTTTCATTTATCTACTACGTTCATTATTCACTTGTGGGACTTGGGCATTTCTGGCTGAGCCAGCATTTGTTAACTATCCCTAGTTGCCCTTAAGATGGTGGTGTTTTTATGCATTGCTGCTGTTGCCTTTCAAGATGCTAGTCTTTGCAGGTTTGGAAAATACTGTCTAAGGTGCCTTGGTGAATTTCTGCAGTGTAATTTATAAATGGTACATTCTGCTGCTATTGAGCTTTGTTGTGGAGGAAGTGAACGTTTCTGGAGGTCACCCTATTAAGCAAGCTACTTTTTCTGGATTATTGTGTCAAGCTTCTTGAATGCTGTTAGAGCCATATTAACCCAGGCGAGTGAGGAGTATTCCATACTCTACTGACTTGTGCCTTATAATGGTTAGGCTTTGGGGATTCAGGATTCCTACCCTCTGACCTGCTTTTTGTAATCACTATTTAAATGGCTAGTACAGTTCGGATTCTGGTCAGTGGTAATCCTCAATGTTAATGGGGATTTTGGTGATGGTAACAGCATTACCTTTCAAGAGCTGATGGTTAGATTCTGTCTTGTAGGAGATGGTCATTGCCTGGCACTTGGGTAGCGCAAAAGTTATTTGCCAATTGTCAGCTGAAGCCTGAATGATATCCATGTTCTTGGTGCATTATAGTATTAGTAGACAGGAGTATGCTGCCTCTCCCCTCTTCCTCTCTCTCCTCCACCTCTTCTCCCCTATCTCTGCTTCCCCTTCCACCTCCTTCCATTAAATTGCACAGTTTAATTTATTTATTTTTCATCAGGTTACTGTTCACAATCCAGAAAACCAGGGTTATCTTATTGCGTATAAAGACTCCCAACTCATCATCTCTTCTGCTAGGTAAGTGTGTACCCTAAGTAATTTTGAATGAATTGTTTTCACAGGAGGCTACAATTACAGTGTAGCAAGTTTAGAAAAGGCGTAATAAGAACTTATCGTGGAAATAAAAACATAGTGTGTGATGTTTAAGATGGGCACTGGATACTGTTTTTATCTTTCTGTTCTGAAGAGTCATTCGACTTGAAACGTTAACTCTGTTTCTGTCTACACAGATGCTACCAAACCTGCTGAGTTTCTCCAGCAATTCCTGTTTTTCTTATTGTCTTTACCCTGTTTCCTACCACCCAGTAAATGTAAAATCGTATTTAACCATCTTTCCCCTCCAGTACAGAGGAGGCAAGCAATTGCTATAAATTCTCATTAGAGATCAAAGTTCCGTTAACCACCTGAACTTTCTGTCACAGATCTTGAAATGTTCCTACAGTGAGTGATTTGGAGAAATTGGAAATGTTTCCAGAAGTTTCCACTATCTGTGCAAATCTCCCTCCTGGGGAGAAAGCGAATTTGTTTTTGATGTGTGTTTATTCTGACAGTTACTACTGTGGTTGTTTTTAGACGAACTATCAGCAGTGTAGCTGGACAAAAGTACTGATTCAGAACAAAAATAATCATTGTGTTAACCTGTATTGTGGACAGTAATATCAACGAGTTTCTGGATATGTAGCAAGTATCTCTCTCAACCCCACCACCTACATCCTATTTGTTAATCCCTTGATTCATTGAACACTAAATCTTGCTAAGGGTTGCTGCTTTGCCTCTTTATTCAGCTACACACGGTTCAACTTCAATTCACAAAATCTTAACACAAAGGTGGAGACCGTTCAGCTCACTTTGTAGATGCAGGCTCTTACTTCCTTGATTTTTAAAAAAATATATTGATTGAGTCTTCACACTGGGTTCCATACATAGCAGTGTTTGTGACTGTCACTGCCACTGTATATTGGCTCTCTATTTAGTACACTTTTGTACAAATGGGCAGTGTGCATTCCCTTGCTCAAATCAATGACGAGTAGAGCTGAAATAGTTTCAAAGGAAGTGACTAAGTATTCACAAAAGAAAAATTGTGAAAGGATTGACGAATAGGACTGAATTTAGATATTTTTCAGAGTCGGCACAGGTGTATTGGACTTGCTGACAACTTGTGCTGTAAGATTCAAAGTAGGTGAAATGTCCTCGTGGTGGAGAGTCTGAACTGTGGACCTGTAAAGGTGATACACGCTTTCATGCTAACTGGTGTTTCATCGGGCTCTTTATGGGATCTGATGTATAATCGCCAAGTTCAATAAAAGCACAGCTTCATTCTTGTGAATATAATATGAATAAACTTTACCCCTTCGCTAGAAAACCAGCTTTTGATTTGTACAGGGGAAAGAGACAAATTAAGAAAGTAAAGCAGGCAAGCACTTATTTTGTGTTCAGTTTGGACTAGAGCATGTGGACCCAGACTTGATTATGACCACAGGCCAAGTATCACAATCAGACATTTTCTTCGGATTGTGTACCTAATCCTCTCTGTGCTAAATTTCCAATTGTGGCTGAGCGAGTTTGCTCCCTCTGATTAACCCAGCAGGCTTTAAGTCAGAATAATGAATTCAACAAAGCAAACTTGAAGTTTGAGTAGTCTCTTCATTTTGATTATTATTTTCCTCCTCAGTGTTGATTTCTGAAGAATTTGAGGCTTCTGCAAAAGATTTAACTGCTGAATAGTTGTGCTGTTAGTTAACCTGTTATTGCTGATCTGCTGTTAGTTCTGCTTTACTGTTTCATTCTATTGTACACTACTGTGACTCTTGAAATGGGATATGTCTGTTGCCAGCAGTTCTGATAGACGCAGACAGCTGGCTAAATCTTAACTGGCGTCAGCAGGTTCGAATTGGCCAGCCACAGTGTAGAATAATTTGTTCTTTGCTTTACGTCTGTGGTCTCTGGTACCTGACCCCAATCAGTCATTAAGAATGAAGTTACAGAAGAACACTTGATTTTCACTTGCCTAATTTCTTTATGCCTGACATCTAGATTAACATTCAATGCACTTAGTTCCTGTTGCAGATTTGCAGACACACTTATAAATTTCAGTGTTTGTCTCAGTCCTCAGTCATCTTTTTCTCCTCTGCGTTCCCCTGTTCCCCCCAACTCCTTGGAGAGAGAAACCTGTACCAGTTGCCTGCTTTTGATCGAGAGGTGGTTCAGTTTGAGCCAAATAAACTGGATTTTCTGCCGGCTTTCTACATTTAACCACTGAGTGGCACTCCATGCAATAGCAGAAAAACCTGAAACACGTGCTATGCATTTTTTGAGAGATAGTAAGAACTGCCGATGCTGGAGCCAGGGGTAACACAGTGTGGAGCTGCAGGAACACAGTAGGTCAGGCAGCATCAGAGGAGCATGAAAGTTGACGTTTCGGGTCGGGACGCTTCAGAAATTTTCTGTAAAAGGGTCCTGATCTGAAATGTCAGCTTTCCTGCTCCTCTGATGCTGCCTGACCTGCTGTGTTCCTCCAGCTCCACACTGTATTATGCTATGCATTTTTTGATGTGCTTTTCCAGAAAAAGGAAATCTGAAATATTCTATCAAAAGAAGACAACAACTTGTATATAGATGATACATCTAACAAAAGGTTGTAAGGAGCTTTACATAATTAAATTTAATCCCAGGTCATTTGTTGCAATATTAAGGCACCTGGCCAAAAGCTTGGTTTTAGGTGATTCGAAAAGAGAGTGCTAAAGAGGTAGAGGGGATTTGAATGTCATTTCCAGATCTTGTGGCTCGGGCAGCTGAAGGAACAACTGTCAATTGCAGAGAAATATAAAACCTTATTCACAAGGAAGGGGATGATGTCGATATAGTAATCCAAGAGAAACACTGAAATATTGAACAAAATCATAACGAGAGAGGAAACTAAGACAGAATAGGGCCTCTTAAAGATCAACAAGGTTACTTATGTGGAGAGCCACAAGGGATGGGTGAGATCCTAAGTCAATATTTCTTGTCAGTATTTACTGTCAAGAAAGACATAGATGCTAGAGAATTTGGGGAAATAAGTAAAGATGTCTTGAAAAGAGTCCACCCTAGAAGTCTTAAAATGCATTAGAACATAAAACAGTACAGCATAATACAGGCCCTTCAGCCCACGATGTTGTGTCGAACTGTTATCCTACGAAGATCAAACTACCCTGCATACCCTACATTTCACTATCATCCATGTGCCTATCCAAGAGTCACTTAAATGTACCTTATGTATCTGACTCCACTACCACCGCCAGCAGCGCATTCCACGCACCCACCACTTTTTCTGTAACGGACCTACCTCTGACATCTCCCCTGTAGCTCCCTCCAGTCGCCTTAAAATTATGCCCCCTTGTAATAGTCATTTCCACCCTGAGAAAAAGACTCTGGCTATCTACTCTATCTATGCGTCTCATCTTGTACAGCTCTATCAAGCCACCTCTCATCCTTCTTCGCTCCAACGAGAAAAGCCCTAACTCCCTCAACCTTTCCTCATAAGGCCTGCCCTCCAGTCCAGGCAGCATCCTGGTAAATCTCCTCTGCACCCTCTCTAAAGCTTCCACGTCCTTCCTATAATGAGGCCACCAGAACTGAACACAGTATTCCAAGAGTGGTCTAACCAGGGTTTTATAGAGCTGCAGCACAACCTCACTGCTCTTAAACTCCATTCCCCTGCCAATGAAAGCCAACACACCATATGCCGCCTTAACAACCCTATCCGTTTGGGTAGCAGCTTTGAGGGATCTATGGATGCGGACCCCGAGATCCCTCTGTTCCTCCACACTGCCAAGAATCCGGTCATTAACCCTGTATTCTGCATTCAAATTTGACCTTCCAAAATGAATCACTTCACACTTTTCCCGTTGAATTCCGTCTGCTGCTTCTTTGACCAGCTCTGCATCCTGTCACTGTCCCATTGCAACCTGCGACAGCCCTCCACACTATCCACAACTCCTCCAACCTTTGTGTCATCGGCAAACTTACTAACCCATCCTTCCATTTCCTCATCCAAGTCATTAAAAAGATCACCAAAGAGCAGAGGTCCCAGAACAGATCCCTGCAGAATACCACTGGTCACCGAGTTCCAGGCTGAATACTTTCCATCTACAGCCACCCTCTGTCTTCTATTGGACAGCCAATTCTGTATCCAGACAACCAAATTTCCCTGGATCCCATGCCTCCTTTCTAAATGAGCCTACCATGTGGGACCTTTTCAAAGGCAGATTAAGACAGATAAGACCCCAGGACTTTGTGGGAAGGTAAGGAGGAAATGGTGGGGCTCCTAGTGGAGATATTTGTATCAACAGCTATGGGTGAAGTACCCAAAGATTGGCGGGTAACTGATATTGTGCCGTTGTTTAAGAAAGGCTGCAGGGAAATACCTGAGAACTACAGACCTGTGTACAACAATCTGTAAGTTGTTGAAGGGGATTCTGAGAGACAGGATCTGCAAGTATTTGGAGAGGCAAGGACTCATTTGGGATAGTCGGCATGGCTTTGTGCATGGGAAATTGTGTCTCATGAATTTGATTGAGTTTTTTGAAGGGGTCACGAAGAAAGTTGCTGAGGGTAGTGCAGTAGACGTCTGCGTGGACTTTAGCAAGGCCTTTGACAAGGTACTGTATGGTAAGTTGTTTAGTAAGGTTAAATCTCACTGGGTCCAGGGAGAGCTAGGCAATTGGATACAAAATTGGCTTGACATTAGAAGACAGGGCGGTTGTTTCTCAGACCGGAGGAATGTGACCAGTGGTTTTCCACAGGGATCATGCTCGGTCCACCGTTATTTGTTGCTTACAGAAATGATTTGGGATGAGAATTTGAATTATGGTTTGTGGATGATACCAATATCAGTGGTATAGTGGACAGTGAAAAGGGTTATCTGGGAATGCAGGGAGATTTTGATCAACTGGGCCAGTGGGCTGACGATTGGCAGATGGAGTTTAATTAAGATAAATGCAAGATGTTGCATTTTGGTGTGTGAAATCAGAGCAAGA